CTTAATAAAAAAAAAAAAAAATGAAGTAATAATTTCTGTACAAAAAGAAGAGGGTTCAACTGTTAGCACATACCTTCAGTCAATATAAATAGAAAGCATAAATCTGGGTGTAGTGATGGACTCAGACCGGAACTTCGGAGGCTCATAAAGACAGTATCAAAGTCTTACCTTACATCACCTAAAAAAAATCTACAGGGTTAAAGGACTAATGTTTCAGCAGAACCTTGAGAAATAATTATGTTTAGTAATATTCATCACTGCCCAAAAAGTCGGTCAGACAGCAGCAGTTGATCCAGAATTCTGCTGCCTGCATCCTCACTAAAAATAAAGTGGAGAGCATCAACCCTGTTCTAAAATAATTGCACTGGCTCCGTGTCTTTTAGAGAATACACTTTAAAACACATCGTTTAGTCTATAAATCACTGAGGCTTAGCTCTAAAATAAATTACAGACTTTTTGTCAGTATGTTAACCATCCAGACTTCTCAGATCTTCTGGTTAATCTCTACTTTGCAAACCTACTGTAGAACCACACAATGAGAAGCTGCTTTTAGTTCTTAAACTCCAGTTAACCAGAACAGAATCCCAGAAAACTGTAAATGTGCTGAAGGAAGTGATTTATATGAAGTTCAACTTATTTGTTTACAGAAGCCTTTGGCTTTTCTGTTTAAACATTAATAGTTATATTCCTTTCTTTCATTCCATTGTTATCAATTTTTTAAAATATTTTTTTATATGATCAGATTTTAATTATTCATCGTTACTCTCTGTGATTATTTGTGCTGCCCTTATGCTACTGCAATTAAGTATTCCTTTTTTTCTGATGTATAGCACCTTAAATTGCCTTTCTTCTGAAATGTGCTGTACACATTAAATAAACCCTTCTTGCCTTGCCAGAGTGCTGCAGTCCCTCATATCTTGTTTACTTACAAAGACTGAACATCTGCAGAACCACCTTGATAAAATGGAGCTACATGGAACACAGTCTCATTGATAACACTTCAATTAGAAAAGATATACCTTTATTATTTAGTTTAAACAAATATCAGTGCTTACACATAGGGTTATAATGCGTTTGATAACTCATGTCCTGCTGCAGATGACTTTTTCACTCTGAGGATGTGCAGACTCAAGTTTGTTTTCTCTATGCAGTTCCACTTGTCCCAAGCTTTCTTGGAAGCTCCAGTAGACACTGAATGTTCTGATTTAAAAATGCAGAATTCTATGTTTTATATATGTTTTAATGGCTAAAGCTTTTTCTGCATAGAGTTTGCATGTTCTCCCAGGGATTATCTGGATATTCTTATGGCACTCTTGATTCCTCTTACCGATAGGTTAACTGGTTAATGGAAATGACTCACCAGCCCCACAGCGACCCTTAATGATATAGAAAATAGATGGATGGATCTACATGAGCCAATAAAATGTTATATTAGGTCTAGATATTAGTTCAACTATTTCTGCGTGTTTTTAACAAGTGGAAAATAACTACCTATTTAACTGAATTAAAACAGTAAGCTTAGTGAATTAAAAACATTATTTGAGTTTCTTTGTTCTTATGCAGCAACATGAATTGAACTGAACATGTTATACAAACATAGCTATTCTCTTAGGCTATCTCTATTTTATGTGCCCAGCATCAAATATTTACAACAATCCACAATGAGAGTCTGTAAAACACAGCGGTTATAAGTGTTCCTTCTTGGTCCGATTGTGTTGATTCAAGCTGTTCACTTGATCAGCATTTCATCTATTTTATTGATTTAGATCTATATTTATTTATTTTACTTCATGAGGAATTAGATGCTTCATTAGGGCAAATCTTACTAAAAAGTGTGCATTTTTCTCTCACTTTAGAGCCATTTTGAATAAAAGTTTTATATATGTAGAATAAGGAGTTGCAAGCAGACAAAGATCTCTAGATAAAAGTCATTGAGAAGATTGTCTTATCTTTTTATATATAATTCTGTGGAATACCTTTAGCAGTTATAAACACCGATTTGTTCAATTTGAATGTAATATATGAATGTAATATATTAAATGTAATATATAAGTGAGAATTAAGAAGATGAATAAACACATCTGACTGACAGGAGAAACACACAATGGAAATAATGCTAATTTCATAAAAACAAAAATAATTAATGGTTTGTAAAACGGAACCAAATATGAAACTTTGAAATGTTCAAGCTGCAGACAAATGAAGAGATAAAAATTCAATTTGTTTTAATATTTAAAACCTCTTCTACGTGTAGTCACAAAAGGAGAAATGGAGACTTTTTATCTTTCACTAAAAGATCCAGTGAGTTTTTTTTTCTGCTGTCACGTTGGTTCTTCCGTTTTATAATTTCCTACATACTGAGGAGAGGTGCCTTTCAATTATTGAGAGCAATTTTCTGAGCTATAAATGGAAGGAGTCTTATTGTTTTATATGTAGAAGTGCCTGTTTCTGCCAAAGATGATTTACTTTAGCTGTAAAGAAAGAGGTTTCGTATTGTGACCAGATACTCGAACAGGGGTCTCCAACATTAGTCCTTAAGATCTACTGTCCTGCAGGTTTTAGATGCCAACCCTGCTCCAACACACATGAATAAAATAATTGCCTCCTTTTATGGCCTTTGCTAAACATAATGGCATGCTCAAGAGGTCACTAATGATATTCTCATGGCCTCAGATGGACTTCTCCTTGTCCTGTTAGATCTTAATGCTGCATTTGACACAGTTGATCATAATATTGTTTTAGAAAGATTTGAATATTGTGTAGGAATTAAAGGAACAGCACTAGGCTGGTTTGAATCGTATCCATCTGATCGATTTCAGTTTGTTCTTGTTAATGATAAATCTTCCTTATGCTCCACGGTTAGCTGTGGAGTACCACAGGGATCAGTGCTAAGACCAATTCTGTTTACTACAGTATATGTATTCTCCCAATTTGTAGAATTAATACACAGCATGGGATTCATTTTCACTGATATGCTGATGATACTCAGATATATCTGTCTAGAAATCCAGATAAAGGTAACCCATTAAATAGATTACAGGCATGTCTTGAAGACATACAAACCTGGATGACTCTAAACGTTCTCCTTCTGAATACAGACAAAACAGAAGTTATTGTCTTTGGACCAGTCTTTGAAAAAGAAGCTGATTAGCCAGCTTTGGATGGGATTAAATTAAACTTATTTGACCACTTTTTGCATTTGTGGTTTACTTTAAACCAATATACTTTTCATTTGAGTTGCCACTACCCGAGAGGCTGCCATGTGGGCTTGGCCGGGCCGGTGAAGGAAGAGTCCCAGCTGCAAAGAATCTCCTCAGTGACACTGAGACCTAATTGGAGTCATTTATTTCAGAAGAGGTGTGAAGGTTTAAGTTTTTACATAATTAAAATTGAGGAGTTTAATTACTTATTTCTTTTCTCTCATAGGTTGTTGATTTTTTTTAATACTATATATTAAGTTTATTCTTGTAGTTTTGTTAAGTTAAGTTAAATGTATGTAATGTGATATTTCCCCCTTGTGTGTCAGTTTGTTAGATCAGTTAATATTTCAGTTGCTAGTGTTAAGTTTGTTTTTGTTGAGCTTATTCTCTTTTTGGGCCCAGATTCATGTTTAAAGTTAAGATTTTCAAATAAATGTGTTACTATTTTTTTTCCTCAAACTTCACTGTGCTCCTCTGATTTTTTTTTGCTCGGTCCCTCACAGGAACTAGCTACCGGTTTTAGATTATGAGGCCGACACCCTATCTAATTTTTAGGCTAGGCTTAAAACTTGATAAAGCTTATAGTTAGATTGGCTCAGCTTATAGCTAGATTGGCTATCTCTACAGGTATGCTGCTATATGCTTAAAATGCTGGAGGACATAGAGACCCTTTTTCATCATTCTGCTTTATTCTATCTCTATTCTCCCATTCTGCAGGATTTGTTAGTCCAACCTCTAACTTTATGCTCCCTCTGCTTTTTCTCATCATAGTAGCTTCATCTCGTCTGTTGCTGTCTGGCTGTGGCACAATCCTGGAGAGAAATATCAGCTGTGCTGCCACCATCAACACCTTTGTTTATAGATGTTGGAGATCGGCCTGTCTTTCAGTGTAATCCTCTAATCCTCTTTCTCTGACTGTGACTGGCTGGATGTGCTCTCTTTCATCCTCTGACATGGGAGTTGTCTCAGAGCTCATCTGCCTGCTGTGTGTTTCCTGTACGGTGTTCCTTTTACAGTTGTATTTTGTATCTCTTCTTCTTTCTCCTTGAACCCCAGTTGGCCTCGGCAGATGGCCGCTCACACTGTGCCCTGTTCTGCTGGAGGTTTCCTCCTGTTAAAAGGATGTTTTTTCCTCTCCACTGTCGCTACATGCATGCTTAGTGTGAGGGATTGCCTTCGAGTCAATGAGCCAATGCAATAAACTGGGTTTCATTAGATCGAAAACTTTAAATCAATTGTACTGTATGATCTGGTGATCTGTAAAGTGCCTTGAGATGACATGTGTTGGGAATTGGCGCTATAGAAATAAACTTAATTGAATTGAATTTTAGCTTGGTACCATCAGAGTGTGAGTGTGTATGTGAATGCATGAATTACTGAATTTAGTGTAAAGTGCATTGATCAAGTTATCTGACTTGAAAAAGCACCATAAAAGTAAAGGTCATTTACCATTACTGTTAAATGTAAATAATCAGAACAAAGAATATTTACTTGATTAAGGTATATTTCGAAGCGATACTGTGATAATTTACCTAAGATGGTGAAACAGTGTGAATCTCCTGTCTTCTTCGGACTTTAAATGTCTAAAACTGTGCTTTCTAAAAAAACATAATCCACTGCTCTTGTGTCTTCACCGGAAATTGTACAGAACAGGTTTCTCCCTGCTGCAGCCACCTTACATCATTTTCACCTTTTCCCACACATTCACACCTGGATGTGGTCCAGCAGCACCACACCGAGCCGCCTCACACCAAAGCTGCCGAGAGCTACACAAACATATTCGTGACACTTTACACTCACACTTTGCAGGGAGGCCGTAGCCACAGGTGATCTTGGCCTCTCCAGTCTCACAGCCATGGAGGGAAGCGCACTCCTTTTTTAGCAGGGGACCTGCAGCCCGGTGGATGGCTCCGTCCACTGCAAAGACAGAAAACAGGAGACTTAGGCAGCTGCCCTGCTTCTGTGAATCCACTGAGATCTAACCAACCATTGGTTTAAGTTCAGCAAGCAATGTTTACTGGAGCTGCAGCTTAGTGGGAATTGGGCCTGGATAATGCATGCATTGTTTGAATTGACTCCTACTTAAGTCAAAGCATATAGCTCTTTTCGTGTACTGAATGGATTTCAGGGCTCCTGCTTTCAGTAATTACTTCATCTAATGTGTTATTAAAGACTCAGCTGAACCGAGTTTTTGGTCAATTAGCCATTATTAATTACATTTTCATAAATCTACATAACACTTAGAAATGTGCGTCTATCTCTGAACCCCGCCACATCTAAAGGCCGTATTCATTTCCAGAAGGGCAACGATGCACCAAAAGCAATTTTACACCAGAGCCGATTACACTTTAAGTTGGAACTTAAATGCCTTAGATCCTGTTTAAAGTCAAAACTCAGACAGACTTGGTCTTAGCAATTTAATAGTCAACTTCCCATATTTTGACCTGGAGGCTAAACATTAACATGTATATTTCTTAAGTTATTTAGTGATTAAAACCTGTTAAGGTTTACTGAATAATTTCAACAGCTACACAAATCATTCTGTTAAACCATTGATATTAGCTTAAAGTCTATGCATAAACAGCAATTACAATTGAACACAGTGAGACCAAACTGCAAAATCCAATTTGATTTGTAATGTTTTTCCTAACTCAGCATAATGAGGAACCTCAAAAGTCTTTTTGGGCCGTTTTGTGTCCTCAGAAGAGGAGAGATGAAAGGAAATTGAGGGATGAAAGAGACTGGAAATGATGTCCTTGGAAAATTGTGTTTCAGGCAGTTTGCATGGTAAAAAAGGACCAGCGGTGCAGAAAGAGAACAAGCATTTAATTGAAAATATACTTAATTGCTCTTCTCCATAGCATTTGTTTCGATCGATATTGAAAAACAAATGCCTGAAGGAAGCTTTTTTTTAATATTAACGAACCACTACAGCAATCATAGGAAAGGTAATAGTGATATTTTAGAAACAGCTTTGAAAAGTTAAGAATGACTGGAAACAACAGAGAGATGATTACGACTTATCTGGCTAAAATAAAAAAAAATTACTTTTCCAATCACAAAGTATGGAAAGTATTCAGACCCATTTACATTTTTCACTGTTTCATTGCAGCCATTTGCTAAAATCAATAAAGTTAATTTTATTTCCTATTAATGTACACCCAGCACTCCATCTTGACAGACAAAAACAGAAATATAAACATTTTTGAAAATTCATTAAAAAAGAAAAACTGAAATAACACATCATAAGTATTCAGACCCTTTGATCAGTATTGAGTTGAGGAGGAGCAATCATTTGAGCTAGTAAAGCCATGAGTCTGCTTGGGAATGATGCAACACGTTTTTCACACCTGGATTTGGGGACCCTCTGCCATTCTTCTTTGCAGCTCCAGTTCTGTCAGGTTGGATGGTGAGCGTTGGTGGACAGCCATTTTCAGGTCTCTCCAGAAATGCTCAACCAGGTTTCGGTCAGGGCTCTGGCTGGGTCAGTCAATAATGGTCACAGACTTGTTCCCAAGTCACTTCTTTGTTATTTTAGCTTTAGGTCATTATCTTGTTGGGAGATGAACCTTCGGCCCAGTCTGAGGTCTCGAGTATTCTGGAAGACGTTTTCTTCTAGGATCTCTCTGCACTTGGCCGCATTCATCTTTCCTTCAATTGCAACCAGTCGCCCTGTCCCTGCAGCTGAAAACACCCCCATAGCATGATGCTGCCACCACCATATTTCACTGTTGGGATTGTATTGGGAAGGTGATGAGCAGTGTCTGGGTTTATCCACACATACAGCTTAGAATTGAAGCCAAAAACTTCCATCTTTGTCTCATCAGACCAGAGAGTCTTCTTTCTCATAGTCTGGGAGTCCTTCCTGTGTTTTTTTTTTTTTGGCAAACTCTATGCAGGCTTTCATATGTCTTGCACAAAGCAGATGCTTCCATCAGGCCACTCTGCCATAAAGCCCCTACTGGTGCAGGGCTGCATTGAAAGTTGACTTTGTGGAACTTTCTCTCATCTCTCTACTGCATCTCTGGAGCTCAGTCACAGTGATCTTCGGGTTCTTCTTGACCTCTCTCACCAAGGCTCTTCTCCCTCGATTGCTCAGTGTAGCTGGAGCGGCCAGGTCTAGGAAGAGTTCTTCTCATCCCAAACTTATTGCACTTAAGGATTATGGAGACCACTGTACTCCTAGGAGTCCTGCAGAAATTCTTTTGTAACCTTGGCCAGATCTGTGCCTTGAAACAATCCTGTTCTGAGCTCCTTGGGCAGTTCCTTCAACCTCATCATTGTCATTTGCTCTAAAATGCACTGTGAGCTGTAATGTATTATATAGACAGGTGTGTGCCTTTCCTAATCAAGTCCAATCAGTTTAATTGAGCACAGCTGGACTCCAATGATGGAGAAATGGACAGCATGTGAGTTAAATGTGAGTGTCACAGCAAAGGGTCAGAATTCTTATGACCATTTGATACATCTGTTTTTCTTTTTTAATAAATTTGCAAAAAAAAAATTACTTTTTTTCTATCAAGATGGTGATACTGAGTGTACATAAATGATAAATGAAATTAACTTTTTTGATTTTAGCAAATGGCTGCAATTAAATAAAGAGTGAAACATTTAAAGGGGTCTGAATACTTTCCGTACACTCTGTATCACAGCAATTACCTGTAAAACCATTTTAAGGCAGTTTCTGGACATTTTCCAATGATTTCTTTTCTTTCTAGTTGTTTATTAGACAGGAAACAGAATGAGCTCACACAGAAATGTCCCAAGGTTGGCAATCAAACCTCGACAGCTGCATGGAGGGTTATTGTCCTCCATTGCTGTGCAAGAGTTCTGAACAGTTTTAAAGTAATTGTCCCTCTACTTCCCGTTTTTTATTTACTGTAAAAGGGAATTGTGTTGTACAACAAGCCGTGGCAGATCCATGACCAAGTCTACCCCGGTCATTTTGATTTATTTACAGATTTTCAGGTTTTAGCTAAAGTAAAAAACTCACGTTTTAACATGAAAAAAAAAATGTAATTCCTGGTGTAATATTGCAGAACTAAATAAGCTTACAGGAAAATATAAAAAGCAAACACTAAAATTATAATGGCACCCAACAGCCCTGCTTAAATAAAAAGACAGGTCGAATTGGGGGTAAGTTACACTGAAATATTAAACTACTGTACCAACGATAGTTGATGGCTGAATGTAAGTAGTGGGAACTGTTTTCAATATACTGTATGTGCATCAGACACAGTAGCAAAACCACACTGTAAAATAAGAGAGAATAAACCTTTAAAACATGTCTGCAGTAGCTTACCCTGCCACGTCAGAGAGAGAACATCTCAACCTTTTTAGTTCTGCCTTGATTTGTATTTTTGTTCACTGCCTACAGTATGCCATGTTCAAATTATTTTCAGTAAAGTTTCTATATCAATTAATGAGGCATTCACAAGACATTTGAAAGAAAAATTGCTTCTGGATGTAAACACTTGTCAAGCTAAAACTACATCTGTTGTGCTTGTATATTTCTACTGTATTGTGCTGTCTTGTACTTCCTGTTTTCTTAGAAGCAGTGTTTTGTTGTCTTTGTGTCAGAGTCTGTCTAGTTTAATCGTACTGTGTCCATGCTACACTTATATATATGCATTTTACTGCTTTATTAACATTATAGTCAGGGGACTGCAGATGAAGAATAGCCTTCAGCTAATTCCAGGTTGTTTTAATCCATGAATTGTTACAGCATATGTTTGATTAAGTTGCACTGTCCCCTTTCAAATAAATAAATAAAATCAATAAAAATTATTTATCTTTGTAAAATTTTTCCATCCATTTTTGCTTGAAGCACAATTCCATACATATCCAAACTCAAGAACTTCCCGGCATCCAAGCGAGCCAGAGGAATCCATTTAATGCTCTTCTGTTTTAAAACCAATATTTGCGTAGGTTTAATCTTTCTTCATGGGACTTGATAATTGCAAAAAGTGTCTTTGTTCTTAGATTTACGTTTTTAACAACAGACACGGGTAAGAGCTGTAAACTGTTTCCAGTGGATAGACTTTAAATGACATTGTTATTGCATTAAAAGTTAACCAGCCATGCAGTTCTTCAACCATCAGCAGCATCTGTTTGGTGCTAAGATGTTTAAGACTCTGCTTATGTGTTGAAATAGATCTAGAGTCAGAGTGTGGTGTAAACAATTTATAATTAGCCAAGAATAAAACACATCTGTCAGGAGCAGCTCTGTCGCAGCATTGAGCGTCTTGTCAGCTCTTGGTGAAAATAGTCCTGTAACACCCATCCATATGTCACAGCTCAGCATGTCGGCCTGCGGTGCTCATCTTCGTCTGACTGTATACAGGCCAGCTGTTACAGCGGTGTGCGAGTAGCTCCAGGCAGGGGTCTGATGTTATCTTAACGTTATTGTGTTAAGTTGGCATGTTGCATGCCGTGCCGATCCATGGTGCGCCGTGTCGTGCTGCGCCGTGTAAAGCTAAGACTGCTACAGTATGTGAGCGAAGCACAGAAGCACGGGCGTGACAGACGAGCTGCAAATACTGGCTACCCTCCTCAGGGTCCACCCAAACAAGCTCTGATGTGTGCGTAAGGGTGAAACACTGCATGTCGATGCGTATGTGCAACTGCTCAGGCTGAGCTTTCTGTGGATTTCTGTGTGTTTAGGCAGAGCAACTCTGAAACAGAACAAGAGATGAGGGAAAGCAGCAGATGTTAAAAAAAGAAAATACAAAAAATACTCCACTGGGAGAAAATACAAGAAAAGCAGAGACAAAAGAAAAAATAAGAGGAAACGGAACAAACTTTGATTTGAAGTTCCATAAATAAAATACATAACCTGTATTTGCACATTGGTTTACTTGAGCATGTGCACAAACACTCTAGGTTAAAGCAAATGCTTCTATGGAATAACAATGAAT